CTTTTTGGTTTGACTCAAATTCATGTTAAATCACGATCGTCTATAAGTTTAAGCTTTGTATAATAGTTGTGATTTGCAGAATAAATATGGTTGCTATTTTAGCTCAGGTACAGGGCAGTAACAAGTGCTAGATGGGTTGAGGAAATGAGGGGAGATCATTCAATTGTGATCATGTGAATTGGGAACAAAGCTGATCTTGTGGATTTGAGGGTTGTGCCAACTGAGGATGCTGTGGAGTTTGCAGAAAACCAAGGCCTTTTTTTCTTCGAGACATCAGCACTCAATGGTGACAATGTAGACCCTGCATTCCTTAAACTGCTCGAGGAAATTCACAATGTGGTTTCCAGGAAGACATTGGATTAAATCAGTACCCATGGTCATTCCAGCATGAATTTAAGATTTCTTGGTAGAATTAGTCAATTGCAGCAGTGGAGATTCATCAATTTTGGCCAAACTTGTTGGACTTAGGGTCGATTGTTGGTGGTAATTGAAGGGGAATTGGCAGGCTATTGACCGATGTCAACGTCCGGAGGCTTGGGTGGCCAAGGCTACCGAAATTTGGACTCATTTGTGGCGGTGGAAAAGAGGATGGAGGTGGTGGAGAGAGAGAGAGAGAGAGAGAGAGAGAGAGAGAGAGAGTATGTGTGTTTTTGTTATTTTTAATATTTTCATAAGTTTTGAACTGATTTGTATTTTTAAAAAAGTTTAGGAGCATATTACAATTTATTATTTACTTTACTTTTTTGTTTTATTTATATAAGATGGTATAATGGTCATTTTATATTAAAAATTGATGAAAATGATGTTTTGCGCAAGAAAATACAAAGGTAGGGACGTTCTGCACCAAAAAATGAAAGGTATGGACATTTTCCACAGAACTCGTCATAGGTAGGGATGTTTTGCGCCAATTACCCTTATTTCTATTGTGTAAAGTCAGTGTTAGGAATGGAACTCCAAAAAGTATTATACAAATTTTTTTTGTCTATTTTTACTTTTTAAATATTTTAACTAAAATTAACTTTACAATAGTCTTTTCCATAAATAAATTGACTTTTAATAGTCTAATTTATAATATATTAAATATCACGTCAAATGAGAATAGTTTTTTGAACAATTCTAGCTCTACTATAATTTAATTATTTCAATAATACCTTACTTTTCGTTTTTCAATATGTATTTAGTTTATTTAACTATTTAGTTATCATCAATGTATATGCACATTTGACTTATTCATTTCACTTGTGCGATTTCATTAATGTATAAATTTCATATTATTAATTCTCAATTAATTAATATTCTCATTCATTTAATTAATATTCATATTCATTTATGTATTTTAGCGTTATTAATTTCAATTATAAATTAATTAAAATTTCATGTTCAAGAATGCATTTCAATATTCACATCCATATATGCTAATTAACATTTAGCTTTATTTAGTTCAAAATTAATTAAATAATTTAATATTCATTGTCAGGTATATATTTCATAGCATTAATTCTAAATTAATTAATATTCAAGCTTATTCAAATATTACTTTTATGATATTTATAAATCATTTCATAGTAACGTACAATGCACGTTCAATGTGGACTAGTAAACGACAAATGACAAATAAGTTTGTGAATCAAAACATTTGTTTGAGGATGCTCGTGCCAAGAATGAAAGTTTAGGTTTAGGTTTT